ATGCTCGAATATCACGGAACGTCATCTCGGGGTGATCTGTATCAAGGGCCGAGGGGGGCCAAAAATGGCTATGTCAAATGTATCAAAGGTTTGCCACACGTGGAGACAAAAGCACAATGCAAACAATCAAGGTGAGCAAAAGTTCGGGGGGATTTAGGGGTGTTTGGCTTCAAACCCATGGTGCTCCTTTTGCTCTTGGCACGGGTGTCCTGACGTCCTGCCAAACGAGGTTGCACTTCGGCGGCAGGTTCAGGAGGATGGGTCGTGCGAAGGCAACCGCGTTGGTCGGACCCTCCGGGCTCGCGCGGGACACGGACGCCCTTCGGGTCGTAGTGGTTGCGGTGCTGGTCGAGGTCCGTCACAGGGCGCTCAAGTGGTTGAGACGGTCCGCCCCCTCGAGGTCTTGGCAGGTCCAGAGCTTGAGGCGGCAAAAGCACAGCCCCATCACTCTGGCGAGGTCCGAGGACTCAAGGATGCGGGTGGAACTGGGGTCGTAGCGATAGCGCCGCATGTCGTAGAAGGGCGTGGCGGGTTGGTGGCGTTGTCGCTTCTGGCTGGGGAGCAGGTCGACTCGGAGTGGCTTGATGCGTCCCAGGTTGCGCTGGGCGACTTGCTCCAGCTTCTCTTGGGTCCAGAAGGTCCTGTGCATGTATGGCAGTTTCTGAGCCGTCTGCATGTTGTTCATGATCATGTCGGCCAGATAGGCGCGGGGGTCCTTGGCTTGTCGCAGGTCGGATGCGATCTCGTTGATGTGGACCTTCATCTGTTGGATGAGCTTGCCGGTCGTGTCCTCCTCCCAGCGAAGAAGGTAGAGCATGTAGCGCCGGTCGTCGTCGCCTGTGATGGCCTCTGCCAATTGGTCCGTCTCGTGTGCTCCAGCGGTGGCGCGTACCACGAGGCACTTCTGAGCCGGCACGAAGCGTTCTGTGTCGTCTTGGCCGGCTGCGGTCAGGGCCTCCCCTCGGGATGCGGCTTTGGCGTCACTGTAGGTTTTCCAGGGGTGGTATTGCTGGAGGCACTCGGGACAGAAGAACTGGCCGTGCTCGGTGATGTTGGCGGTGGCGCGCAGCCAATGTGACGAATGTACCACCGCTTTGCACGACTGACGTCGGCAGATGAAGTGCTCGTCGGTGGACGGGAGGACGCGGGTGATGAAATCGGTGAGGTGTGTGGGATAGTCGTCAGAGTCCAGGAACTCAAGGAGGGTCCCAGTGCTGTTTGCGCGCAATGCCTCGGTGAGGTGCTGCCTCTCCCATTTGTGGAACATGAGGAACAGGTCTCGTCGGTCCTCGGGTGCCAGGTTGATGAGGTCAAGGCACATGGTTTCGGCGAGGAACTTGGAGTGGTCGCTGATGAGGCGGCGCAGGTTGTTGTTGGAGGTTCCGGGGTGGATCTCGCGCAGGGAGTCCATCATGTCCATGTGGGTGTTCGTGCGGATGGTGCCGACGGCCTTGTTGGTCATGTAGTCCAAGCGGCGTCGCCATGCTCGTCGGCACAGCTTGCTGAACACCTCGAGGGTGAATGGCCGGCGGTTCTTCACGTCGAGGGCTGGTACCCTGATCCAGCGGCTGTTGACCTGGTCCCACCTGTGCACGGTGATGTAGGCGTCGTGAGCGTCGTCCGTCTCTGGCACCGCAATCTGTAAGGTCGGTGGGGCGATGGTATGGTCGCTGATCATGGCCGCGAGGTCGGGGTGCTCTGCGATGGTGTTGTACGGTGCGTGTTCTGCAATCAGGGAGTTCGGGTCGGCCAGGAGCTCCTCGAACTGGAACCACGGCACGCTACTGGTGTCGCAGGTAGCGCACCCGTAGCACGCCCCGACCCACTTGTTTCGCCAGTCGGTTTCCTCTGAGAAGCAGAGGGGCATGATGTACTGGGATTGGTATGGGATCTGGCAGAACGAGCACTGCAGTGTGGCTGGTGTTGGATTCAGGTTGTGCCAGTCCAGCAGCAGGTAGCGTGTCCGCGTGTCCGGCTCGGTGTTGGTCGACTCCATGAAGAGGTCGATCGCGTCCGTGGTGGAGAGGCGGGGATTCTCGGTGCGGAAGGTCTGGAACCTCGAGAGGACGCCGGTGTTGTAGGACCGCAGGAGGAGCTCGCAGACTGCGTCGGTCTCGCGAAGTGCCATGTTGTGCGAAGGGGGTGCGATATCGGATACACAAAAGCCAGCCTGAAAATTCCTTCGGAATTGGAGGTGGCGCTTGCCGAACTCACGCAGGAGTCGGTAGTGTGCCGGGTGTGAGTCAAGGGGGGGGGGGGTTGGTCGGGCCAGGGGGGTGTGTCTGGTGACTCGGGTCCAAGGATGGCCCGTTGATGGGGGGGATCTGTACGACGCGCCACACCGGCACAAACGTCGTGTTATACGACGCGCCACACCGGCACAAACGTCGTGTTAGATGACACGCCACACCGGCACAAATGTCATCCCGAGGGGTGGAGCTGTCCCGTAGGACCAACTCCCTGCGGTGTGAAGGTGACCGGGGTCGGCCAGTTTGTCATCAGGGATCCGACCCGAAGAAACCGAGGGTAATCCACAGGGGATCCGAAGTGGGGTGAAAGACCGGTCGGGTTCGGGGCAGGCGAGTGGGGATTGGTCACCGCAGAATGGGCCTCAGCAGTGGGTCGGTTTGTCAAGGGGTATCCTCTCGAATCAAACAGGGGGGACGAAGAGGGTCGACCCGGGCTCGAGGCTCTCAGCGCTTTTGCGCGGTCCGAAGATGGATCTCTCTTCGGGAAAAGGGGGCCTCAGGCGGTCGCCTAGGCATGGGTGTCACCTGTGCGGTATGAGGGTCATCGCCCTATTGCTGGCCCACCATCGCACGGGACATGGACTTGGTGGGTCAACTTAGGGTAGCCGGTTTGGAGACTCCTTGGTGCCGCCTGGTCAGTAGCGGGAGTCCTGGCTCTGCTCAGTCTTAGAGCTCCCGGTTGAAGCGCAGGTGTCCGTCGGGGCCGAGCAGGATGCCCTCGATGGTCGCCATGGTGCGTTGTTCGGGGGTCAGGAAGTTGGAAATTGTCTCAATGATGGTCTCCCCGAAGGTGATTGCCATGTTGTCCACAAAAGGGTCTCGCCGGGAGGCGCGACAGAGCTGCCTCCCGAAGGTAAGCCAGGAACAGGTCAGCTGTTGTAGCATGTGCTGCCGGTTGGCGCTGTTGAGCAGTTGGAGTTGTTGGTGAACGTGTTGCTGGATAATCCAGCGCAGCAGGCTCCTGAGAGGTGTGACCTGCGTAGTTGGTTCCACGGGTACAAGAAAGAGGCCCCCGAAGTCATTGCCGTACACATTGGTGGGGGTGCGCGAGAAGATGCCATAGTTGGTCAGGTGCCATTGCAAGCCGATGTGGTCGAGGACGGAGGGGAATTCCGGTAGCAGTTCCGGATTGATCAGGAAGGTGGCATCTTCGTGTACCCGCGCGCGGATGTGTCCGGCCCGCTGGGTTGACAGCAGGCCTTGTGTGCTGTCGTCACGGTCGATGCCTGGCGGCTGGAGCCACTGGACTAAGTCGTGATGTTGGTTGGATGGTGTGGAGGGTGCCGCCTTGGATGGTGTGGTGGGTTGCGGGCGTGGTGAAGGCATGTGGTGCGGGACGGGCCCGGTCGATGTGGTGGTCGCCTCCGGGAATCGGGCCTGTCTGGGAGTGTCGCGAGCCGTGGGTGTCGCGAAGTTGACGGTCCGCGGTGGTGTCATAGCTCGGGAGTATCCCGGTTGTGTGGAGCGGCCTCGCTGCTGTCGGGGGGTGTGGTTCCGTTGGCGAGACGGGTTCAATGTGCTTGGTGGGCCACGTGGTACCGCGTATGGCATCTGGTAAGTGCACGGATCGGGGTACCGAACGTTCATGTGGTGAATGGGCGTGTTCCACTCGCCGTGAAGGTGGTCGCGGAGGATTTCAAAGGCCTCCCGCCTGGACACGAAGCGCCATTCACGGTGGGCTGTGTCATAGTGGATGCCCACGCCGGTGTTGGGTCTGGCATGGTGCACGAAGCGCAGCCAGGCAAGAAGGTCACCATGCAGGACTGAGTCACTGTGAACATGGCGGCATTCGGTACCACTGTCGCAAAAACCTTCTGGATGCCGGGCCTGTTGTCGAAGATGTCGGTAACAGATGTTGTCTCGCGGCATCCAACGCGCATCAACGAACTCCGGATGCAAAAAGGCGCACTGGTGGGCAGAGGCAGGTGCACGTCCCCTGCAGCCGGAATGGTTGATGAACTGGTTGCAGACCTGATTGCCCTGCAGGATGTAGCCCGGACCGACCGCCTCGGGCAGGATCGAAAGATGGTCTTGAAGGGCCCGGTACAGTCGTTCATAATCCGGGTCGAGCTCGGTCATTTCCATGAGCTGGTACTCCTCCACGATGGATGCGAAATCCGCTGGAGCAGTCATGGCGGTCGAGCAGGCAGGGCAGGTAGGTAGGTAAAAGAAAAATTTGGCTAATTCGCCAAAATGGCGAACGGAGCATGAATCAAGCAGTGTCATCCTGCAGGCACTCAAGGTTCGAATCTGAGTGTGATTCAAATGCCTTCCGCTATCGGTTGTTACTTTTAACACAAGTGTTAACCGCAGCAACTCCCACACTGGGGTTTATGCCCTGCACCCACATTTGAGGTTGCTTCAGCAGATCCAACTACAACCAGTTTTGATTCATTGCCGAAAAGAAACTCACCCACACACTGCTTCCGACTATCACCACAGAAAACCATCATGTGAATATAGGTGCCCGGCTACCGTGGACTGCCTGGACCTCTGAAGCATCACATGATGGTTTCCCCCAATTCCCCACTGTAGTCGGGGCCCCACACCAGGGTACGTCCAACATATGCGATGTCCACAGCCAACCCAACATATCGGAGGAGACTTCAGCGAAAAACCGCCCCAACCCGGTAAAAGTGACTAGTTGTTGGGCGAAATTCCTTGAAACTACCACTAAACCAACTAAAAACAACTAAACGGCTATGGCGGCTAAGGGAACTGGCCTCCAAAACGATCAACAATCAACCCCCCCGCCTTCAGCTTTCCGCTTGGCCGGATACAAGCTCACACCTTCGCCCGCCTGCGCCATCAAAGTTACCCGAGCTAAAGTTCCAGGGAGTGAGTCTGTCACGGCGAGTCGGACTGTAAATGTTCATTGGAATGATTGGGGCCCTTTGCGTCCACCAGTTTGAGGGTATTCCCTATGAACATCCATGGCAATTTACAATCAAAGCAAAATGACCCCACCCATCTCCAACTGCGGTTTTGACCACAAATGCTATGCTCTGATTTCCCCGCCAATATCTTGGGAAGGATTTATTTGAAGTCGGTCTACAAACCCAGCCACATTCTGTTGACACATTCATCGGGTCACCCACCGATCCCGGCGCTCCTGCGCGGAAGCTCGCCCCGCCGCCTGCGCGGAAGCCGCGCTGGGGAAGGACCAGAAGCACCCGGCGCGCACCAGCCAGGCCTCGCCTTTCCGCTCCAGGAGAACCTCGCGGCCGCTTTTCCATGTGGCAAACCCGAACAGGGTCTGCGTCGAAACGGCAAGCATTCCCACCTTCCAATGGGGACAGACCCCTTTTAATCAACCAGGGCTTCAATCTAGTGCTTCCGCGGTGACCTGCTATAGTGGTAGCTGGAAGCACAGGAGCTTGGCGGGAGGGTAGCTTTCTCACATTTGGAACTTCCAAACGATTTGGCCTTCTGGTTGATTTTGCAACTATAGAGAAAACGTCGTAAGGCGGCATCTGCTTTTGTATAGGTTCCACATAACACCTGCGTGCTTCCGGCAACATTGGTGATGCATGTCTCTTCAAAATCGTGGGTTAGCCAATTCTCCAGAATCCCACAAAAGTCACTCAAACGCCCGTTAACTTCAGGTCAGGTCAGGAGAGAAGCACTGGACAACAGGGCTGACCCTCCCAAACCTTGGCTCCCCGACGCCCTCCTCTTCAAGCAGCCGGACCTGGCATGGGGGGGGGGGGCAACCCGTTGTGTCAAGGGTGGCCATGTTGCTTTGCTTTTCGGACCTAGCTGGTTGCGCGCCAGCCGTCGGAGCAAACGAGAATGCTGCGCCTGCCAGGTCGATTAGGCAACCCCCCCCCCCCCCGAACCCTTCATGTTGCTTGGTTTCTTTTTCATTCTTTTCTCAAAGGCACGAACAGTTCCGCGTTTCCGTTCAGCCACTTCAGTAGGTCACTTGTACAACTCCTCTGCAAAAGGAAATCTTGGAATCCCGTCTTCAAAGCAGCGCGGACAAGCTCTCCGCAGGTTAGTCGCCTCCTACCAACTTTTCCCCTCCATGCGTTTGGCAAGCGCCGCGTCCTTAATTTTCTCACCGGGGTGTACACACTTCAACTGTGCCTCGCAGTCGCCGCCTGCGACTGCAGCTGGGACAAAGACTAAGCCCTTGCAAAAACCAGACTCCATGATACATGACTTCTAAAACTTAAACATCTAAAACCGCCTGCATCAAAGTGGCGACGTGTCAACTAAGCAAATGGGACTGCGCAGTTGGAGCTTCAGTCACGTCACGTGGCGTGTGGGGCGGGGGTTCAGGATCGACAAGGTTTGAAACATGGGCCCATGCTCTTTCCAGCCCCCCCAAAGCCCCCACCCCCTCCCCCCTCCCACCCCCTCAACGGCTGCGAGCACGCTGAGGATCGGCACGCGCGGGGGAACATGAAGATTGAAGCTGGCTAGCTCAGCACTTACTTAAAGGGAAGCGTTCCACTATCTCGAGACCAACCCCGTCATGATCCAATCATCCGATCACCACGGCTTTGGAACCCGTCCTACCCGAGGCTTGCGCCGTGCCCCTTGAGGCTGGGTGCTTAACACGTCGAAAGGTCCTTGACCTGGGATGGCCAATAAGGAAAACAACAAAGAGACTTGACTTTCCCGAGTGGGACACTTATCCATGGTCATTTGGTGGCTGAAGGGAATACTGAACCCTCACTTGCCCAGTTTGGATCTGGAAAGGACCTTCAATAAAAGGGGATCACCTTTTGGGGCCACGAAACATGGCCCCATCGTTTTACCATTCTAAAAGTCACCCAAGTGGTGGGTGAATGGGAAAAACCTAGAACCACCCAACAGCTTCTGACTTTGATAACCTCTAGAGGTCAAAATACTGGTAGCAAAGGACCAAAATCGGAAGATCCAAAAGCTCAGGTCCACTTGTTGGTGCCCAAAGCTCCGATTTTTTTGCGCCAAAGCTCCCGCCTTCGTTTGGACCTTCTCGTCCTCGAAGGCCGTGGCGCCAAAGTAGCCGCCCAAGGTGCGGTCCGCTGGGCGTTGGAATTCGAGGGCCCGAGTGGCTAGAGTGGAAGCATGTTGCAAATGCCTGGAATCCCAAAGGTTTGTTCCAACGGTTTGTTCCAATATGTTTTTATTGTGGTAGCTGGCCCTTCTCAAAAAATGAGCGCCTCTGGATTTTGTTTGAGGTCGAAGCAGATAAAAGTTGAGGAAGAAAAAGAAAAACCAACCATGGTGGGAGTCCAAATCCCAATTTCGACACAAGTCGAGGGACCCAGATGATCTGGGCAAAGCCTGTTCAGGCGAATATGGGGGCAAGTAGATTTACAGAGGCATTGTTGGACATCAACCCTCAACCGGTAAGGGGGGGCAAACTCTGAAATAATTCCCTCCATTTGCTTGAGTCCCCCGGAAAACAAACGTGTCCAGTGATAGATTCGCTCAAAAGCCAACACACTACATAATCATTTCAGCACATGGAAGATCCCCAAAGTTGGAATCAAGAATCCCCAAGAGACCTAGGGTGGAATTGTGCGTCTTACCCTCCCAGCCCATTTCTGTGCCAATCTGCACATATCATTGGCCAGACACGCCTTTGCCTAAAGAGGTGAAATCAATTCATCCCCTTGCCGCGGAGTGAATGTTGACGCCAAATTGATAAGGGCGTGTCCTGGCCCTTTTAGTGCATGGGAATTCCATGTGGGTGACATTTATATGCCTCATCTATAGGGTCCAAACGTTCTGGCCCGAGACATAGCCGAGCATGGTGCACCCAAGCGAGCCTTTTGGCGAAACCCAACACAACTGCTCCGTCAACCAACTAACCAGCTTGTATTAGGCGCTAAAAGCCGAACTTCGGATTCCTTGCGAGCCGCGGTTCTTCTTATCGCGTCAACACAAAAGCGGCCATTGTGTCATTTCCAAACTTGAGACAAAGACCCCTAACTGGAGCGCCTGCAACCAAAGCGAGCCTCTGGTCACCAGATCCGATCCACGTGGGACACCCGGTTGAAAGCCCTTAGCTCTCCACTCACATCGATCCTTCCCAACTGCAGACCTACTGGCCAACCCTTTTCCAACCCTCCAAACCTTCTTGCTGGTACTCAGCAGCAAATGTGGGAATGAGCCTCCCCTTACAGGAAACCACCAGCTTGAGGGTTTATCTTGGGTTCATTCCCTTTCTCATTCCCTGCCTATCGCAGCAGCACCCCGTGTCCAGCTTTGCACTCCCAACCCACCAGCCCACCTCTCACCACCCTATGGCAGGGGACTTCTGGCGCGAAGGGGTTCTTCTTCAGCGCCTGCCGCAGCTCACTTCGAGTGACCCCTGGGCGCGGTGACCCCTCAAAAAAAAAACGTAGCAGGGCCTGGCGCTTCACATAACTTTGGACTGTGGTGAGTGACGATTACACCAGGATTGCTGCAAAGATCGGCACGAGATCAAGGCGGATGTCGGATCTACGACAAGAATCGACTGAGTTCCCAGTTCGGGGACTCACCAAGGCCTAGCCCTTGCGGAAAACAACCCACAAGGCACACAAAAAAAAAAAAAAACGGGCGCTTCCACGGAAGCCCGGGAGGGAAAGTCTGGCAAGTTCTCTGCGCGCCTGGCCCACCAAGCGGGGGGTCCAGGGCGCCCCGAGCAGCGAGGAGATCTGGCCGTAGCTGGTCACACACCTGGCGGGCGCAAGAGACGCGTCTGGCTTTTTTTTGGGGGGGAGGGGAAAGAGGGGGGTTGTGCCCATCTCGATGTTCTTCCGGGGTTAGATATGTTGTTTGGGAAAGCTCGCTTTTTTGGAAGCCGAACATATCCCAAGAAATCAAGCAGCACCGCCTGATTTGGACCCCTCATCACCTAAGTTGCTAGCTTCGTTTTGTTGGGTGTGCTTTTGCGTTCCAGTGGCATTTTTGCAGGTAGTCTTAGGCAACTCACAAAACCCAAAACTTCTGGGGCCTATCTGGCCCCTGGTGCTCTTTTTCTTTGGGTTTCCCCGTTGAACCCACTTGGTTTCGAGCATTTGCCCCCATAACGCACAAATTCCCATGTGGTGTCCGACCTGCCCTGCGTTCCCTCATCAAAGCAGAATTTCCTTTTGCTGGGGTGACGTTCAAAGTGGAAGCATAGGCTGGCGAGACAGCGAACATACATTTTGTTTTACCCCATTGAGTAATCCCACTGAAGCTTGCTTTTTCAGACCTGTGCATCGAACGGGATACCAACTACTAAGATACCGATCCCCAGAGGGTCTGATCCCAACAAGGACAGATGGGGTCAACATCCTGAGAAGGTGCTTGGAAGGGGGACTTCGACCTCCTAAAAACACTCTCATTGGTGCACGTCGCTAGTTTTCAGGCTTGCTCATATGAGCTTGGAACATCGAGGCACTCACCGCACAAATCCACGATCAACCAAGGCCCTGCTGATATCCCATATCCCCGGCAACCCCCTTGGCATCCTTCCGGAATAATTTGGCTATAACCACTTCAGAGCCTGGGCGGAGGCCCCATAGCTTTCAGCACTTGAGGGAAAAACAAAAAAGACAAAATAACAGCTCGAACAGCCTCATTTTTGAGACCCACCCACACTAGCAAAAGCTCCGCAGCGTTTTTCTCCGCACCCCTGCTTGCCACGGGGGGCAGATTTGGTGGCAGGCGCTGCACGTGCCCGCGGCAGCAAGGTTGGCTTCGCGGCAATGGACGCCTCATACCCGGGCTTGGCCGAGCATTGAAATGCCACTCTCTCGCATCTGTCGTTCTAAAAAGATGTTTGCTTTGTTAATGAAAGCCCAAAAAGACGAAGGCGTAAAAGAAGGAAAAACATGTGTTCAAAAAAGTGACTTTGCCTTGGAAATGAAATCCCAAACCCGATGGCGTTTACTTATTAAACAAGTGGTTCTTGGCCTCACCAATCACCACCTGGTTTTGAAACGGTCTAGTTACCCAAATCCATAGGCTGATATGTGCAGCCCTTCATGGTTGGGCCCGTCCCCGAACCTTCATCTACCAAGGTCTTGATCGATGACAAGGTTACCCTCTCCCCAACCTTGGAAGCTGACAGGGTGTAAGGTTTTAAAACAAAAAAAGTACTCGGTAAACAATTGGTACTCGTTGGGACCTTGGACCAATTCGCAACGAAGCTCCCAACTTATACGAACAATCAAACATCTTCCTATGTGCCATCAATACGAACCCGCCCTTTGGCTACTAGACTCTACCGCCTGGAAAGCTTGCGGCAATCTTGAATTCGGGTGTAGTTGCAGGGTGTGAAATGAATGAACGCAGGATGTGGGGCCCTTGTTGCAATTGCATCCCTTTGTTTCCACCCACAGTGTTGATTGACACACCGGCCATAGACGAGGCCGCCGGCCCTATCTGCTCTCACCCCAGAAGCCAAGCTTTGACAAGGGGCCCGACTCATGTGCCATCTCTGCGCTAGCAAAAAAGCTCAAAGATGTGGCGGGACATTCTGGCTATGGCATAATCTGGTAATTTCGAAGATGCCATCAATACGAAACCCCCCAAAAACATGCCACTTTTTCGCAGGCAACCAGTGGTTTACTTCGAGGTTTCTGGTTGCCAAAAAGAAAACGGCTGGAAGAAACGGGATACGGATACGGATCCCATTGCTCAAATCACCCAGCTCCGTGACTCACTCTGAAAAAAGAAAAAGAACCCTCTTGGGTGTTGACTGGCGATTTTTTTTTGTTGGGGAAGCCCACCAAAAGCGGGGGGGGGGGGCATATCCGCCGTGGATTCCCTTGCCACGGGACAAAGCCAGTCTCCAGGCTTGCTCGCGGAGAAAATGCCCAGCCTCGGAAGTGAAAAATCCGCTCCTCCCGCCGCCCCCGTCCCCCCCTGGACTTTTATATCCCCAAATCAAAAGTTGCTCAATTACTGGCTGTTGCCAACTTGAAACGATCCCCACTTGGGAGAAAACCAAAAGGGAAACCCTGGCGCCCCCCTGCCCCGAGACTGGAGCCTGACAGGCGTGGTTTTGACTCAAAACAGTTCGTGTGTCCATCATGCCCCCAAGCCCTTGGTGGACCTCCGGTTGCCCAATTACATTTGTTTGTGACCGAAGCCCCATTCCAGAAGCTGATTGAAGGGATCCCCTAAAGGACCTTCCTCGATGTGAGCTTGCTAGAAAATCAGAACTGCTGACTCCTCCGAAGCCACGCGGATTCCCAGACCGACCAAAACACCGCGCCTCGAGAAGGGCGGCTTCCGCGGCATCTTCACGAAGCAGTGCACCGCCGCGGACCGCGCGCGCCCGTTGCGGCACAGCTCCGCGGCGGAGGGGCGCACCGGGGCCGACAGCCGCTCCGCGCAGTAGGGCTGCACCTGAGACACCATCAAAAACCGGTACCCTCTCTCCCACTAACATGGCACCTGAAAGGGGGTCCCTCCAAGAGGAACTTGATCTTCCAGGCACCCTCCCACAGGTGCCACGTTAGTTGGAGAAAAGGTATAAAAATGGCATTTTAATAATCCCAGAACCATGTAAGAATCAAGAAGGCGGATATCCGCAGCTATTTATGGTTGGGATTGTCCCTTACTAACCTTCAGCTACCCGCGTTTTGAGCACGTGGCTCACATGAGAAACTGCGAAAATCAGAGTCGCCAGCGCGAGAATCGCCGGGAAGGAGAAATGGAATGACAACAATGTTTGAACCATGCTTAAACCGCCGCCTTGTTACAATGAGGGAATGACCCCAACAAAAAGCCATCCAACTGGTTTGCTTTTGGGCCAAAGCTTGGGTTCATTTCCTCATGCTGAGCACCAGGTCATCCCTGGCCAAAGTTGCAGAAACTTGGTGTTTTCTACCACATCTCTCCAAGTCCGAAATGGGTTGCCACCGATGGTTGCAATTCCCTTCTCACCCCCCCTTGCCCCCCCCCGAATCGAGCATTCCCAGTGTGGAAATCGTTTGCTTCTCCTTGACCGGGGGTTCCAGTTTGTTTTCTGACAAGCTTTCAAAGCTTCTCTGCCTCAACCTTTGGCTTGGCCCGAAATTGGGTTGGCCCCAATTGGCTTGGCACACATCTGGGGCACAGCAAAACATATGTTCAGATTCCGCTTTAGTCTTATCTACAATCTAACATGGGCATGTGTTTTTATTATGGACCGTTTTGTTGGGACATATCAAATCTTGTTTGGTGCTTTCCCCTTTTTGTCATCTTATGTTTGCCGGACCTTTTCATCAAGCCCCATCCAATTCCAGGGTGTGTCTTTTTGATGCTACCCTTTTTCCAGATGGAAAGAAACCAAACTGAAACCAGGGCAACCTATTTTTCAACCAACCCCGAGAGGGTAACGACTCCTCTGGAACCCTCCAAAACGACAGCTGACGACCGCCAACATCACCCCAGACGCCGTGGAGAGCAGGGGGAAGAGTTGGCCCAGGCGGTCAGGCGAGACCATGCTCGCCAAGGGCGAGGCCCAGCCGTCCTGTCAAACAAAGCAATAATAATAACAAGAAGAAGAAGAAGAAGAATAACAATGATAATAATGGAAAAGCGACCCGGAAACTCTGCCTCATTCCCCCAGCATGGTTTTCGACTTAGGTTCCCCCCAACAAAACCCCCATGGCCTGGGTTTGCGGCCACCGGATGGACATGCGACTCCTCGGAAGCGCTATCCAAGGTCTTGTAAAACGTCCCTCAGGCTTCCAACGCGGATTTCAGCTTAGGTTTTCGCCCAAGAAACAAACAGGTTTGCTTGGTTTCGCCCAACTTGCACGGGAACAGAAGGGGCCTTTTTCAGAGCCCATGTCTTATTTCAAGCTGGTAATTCCAGACAGCCAACCTTGGGCTTGTCTTGTCTACCAGTCATTGGATGGCCTTCTTTAGAGTTATCAAAGAAAGGGCGATTTGATTACAACTTGTTCCTTATGGTCACTTTCGTCACTGCTGTTCTCTGACTGACTAGATCTATCCAATCTGGAAGGGCTTTTGCGCAACTTCACGGTGGCCATTCTCCCAGCGATCTTTCGGCACAAACTACAACCAGGTCACCGGAAGGACGAAACGAGCTTACCTAGAAAGATCCCTTCCTTGCCAATGTCTCACTTTCTGCTTCTGAATTATTGTTGTGGAACTGAAATCCCAAAATAGGCGTCAGTATCCCGAGCTTGAGCTATACCGGACCTGCAATGCACAAAGGCGCTTTTGCGGTTGAGCATTGGGGTGCACATATAGAAAAGATCATATATTTGCTACAGCCATGGAACTTTGCGCTGGCTGGTCCAGGAAGAAAGGCAGCCAATTGACCCCTCTCTGTAGAATTTGAGTAAACTACCACAATTCACCAGTATAAAAATCTTGCTGGTGCTCAGTAGGGAATCAGGCAATGACCCCTACAAACCATCCCTTGTGGTTTCCTTTAAGGGGACCCCTGGGTTCATTCCCTCATTCCCTACTGAGCACCAGCAAGCAAGTCACCAGACGGAAAAAAAGGAAGTCAACCCGCACACAAGCAGTCGTCAGAAATGATTTCGTTGCACTCCAGAAGCCTTCTGTGAATTCGCAATGTCATTTGCCCAGAGAGGGCGGTTCTCGTTTGAAGTAGTGGTCAAATTGCGGTCGGGATGAAATTGTCCAACCACTCTTGAGGTTCCAACCCCTGAAAACCCATGGTCAGCCGCATTTAACGGGAGGCCTCTCAAAAAACGAACGGG